TTTTAGAAGACTTCGGAAATGATTCAAAATTCATCCAACGCTCAGATCCATAGAAGAACAGCCTTCACCGGGGACTTCGGATAAAATTAATAATTTATATTCAGCAAAAGCTGAATTGTAATGTATTGTTAACTATTTATGCAATTCCCATATTCATTAATAGGTCCTTAACTAACAGGTCATCGCTTTGATAAATTTTGAGTAAATTTGTTTATTTATATCAAATGGCAGGCGTTTTGATGGTTATCATTAGCCCTTTAGTTGACTTCAGGCTTCACACAAGGGAAGAACATCAAAGTGAAAAAAAAATTGAGAGAGGGAACAGAAGAGAGATTCAAAGATGACAGACAGTGGGGTCATGGTAGTTTGAAGTCAGAGGTCAACTGCCAGTTAATAGAATTTTTGCCATATGAATATACGTTTCCCAGGGTGCACCACGTGGAGGTAAGTCTATCACGCACCCAAATTTTGAGTAAATTGTCGAAGGTTGCTTAACCTATTATAATTATTGAACTCGAAAGATTGGAACTATAACGACATGGTAATAAGATTGTAACCAAAGCATAACTTATTTTCATGAATTATTCATTCGGATTTGGTTGATATGCATAGTCCCAACTCATTGGGAGTTACTCGTCTAATTGAAAACAATTGGGTTCAATTGTTCTTTTGCAGAGGATATTACATCCGATATGAATCGGAGGATACAGATCAGCCCGAATTGATGGAGAGACGCTGGCTGAATTATCCCCTTAATTTTGACAATGTTCCAAACGGTCTGCTTACCCTCTTCGTGGCGTCTACTTTTGAAGGTTGGCCATCACTGCTATATCAGTAAGTTTTTAGGTTGAATTAAAAGTATTCAGCGATTTGGCTCTACTTCAAATTAATTAATAATTACGGAAATGTTCGAGATTTAATTTTAAACTGATTCACCTTACTTATGCTTGTATTCTAATTGTAAATGATTGGTGAATAGAAACTACCTACATTTATATCAGTAGCGGCTCTGTGTCATAAAACCCATAATGAACTCTTTTGCCTTGGTTTAGGAGAGTAAACAGGCACATCTTTGTTTAATTTTCTTCGATTATAAGTATTATTACTAATAAATATTTAAGATTTGTAGTAGTAGTCAAGAGACAGCAGATAATGAAATCAGAACACCAAAAATATTGATTGATATAAAAGCTAGAAATAACGAACCGTGTACTTTCCGCAGTTGGTAGTATAGTTATCCTGGTGATATTCAAGTGCCAGAAATTGCGTGAGAGTGTGCATACATTATTTAGAAACTTTTTGGCTGATTGATGACCTGGTATCTTGATCGACTTGATTTATTCGTTTTCTGACACAGATAAGGGCAGAAAACTGGGGCCAATAACGACATTTTGAAAACATCAGTACTCACTCGAATTACTTTAACCTGATCTTGGTCATCTTCTGCTAGAATAATATTCATTTACCCATCAGCCTCCACACTGTTATTTATTTAACTCTCAGGGTGAAAATGTCTTAAGAAGGAAATTACTAACCATAAAATTAGCCTAAATGGTTCACTCTTTCATATTCATTTTGATTAATGCTTTTAGTCCACTTGATATGGGACAGAAATGTGAATTATTCAGATTTCGTTCCTGAAATATGAAGGTTTCTCTTTTGGTTTGGTGCCCTAGTAGGATATCTGAGAAGTTTCTTTCCTTAGAATATCAATTTCGTGGTTATTAGACCTCAGTTTCATATGTGTTACTCTATTTTCAATATCATGTATTTAACAAAATATTTACTCATTTAAATGAAATTCGGTAAATGCAAAAAATTTCAAATTATGCATTCGTTTGTCTCCCTCTGACCAACTTATTTTTTTGTAAATATGAACTTTTGTTGAACATTTTAACGAGATTGTTTTACTGAAAATCATTATTGGAAGACTCAAAATCGTTTTTTCCGGCTTCACACGCTATCTTCTCATATTCACTATTGTGCAGAGTTCAACTGAAAGCGCGGCGATAATTTCTTGAGTTAATTCTGGTGGAGATAATGCGAAGTGTCAATTCAAGTAGCTCTACTAAACGAGACAGGTGTAATTTTAGATGCGAAATTGCACTATTCATTGTGTTCGATGTCTAGTCGATCACACCCAACGTCTGAAACTTAGACTTGTCTTCACATACCACGCTTTATAATAGTAGCTGCCAGCTTAACAGTTCAGAAGTCTAATAAGAAACTAAATTTAAAGTTTATTGCATCACTAAATCACTATGTCTAAAGAAATACAGATATTCATCTTAAGTAGATAGTAATTATTTAAAATGTTATTTGTTGTTTAATAAACTTTACTTGTTTATATCAAATGGCAGGCGTTTTGATAGTTATCATTAACCATTTAGCTGACTTCGGGTTTCACAGAGAGGAGGAGGAATATCAAAGTGACAAAAAGTCGAGAGGAGGGACAGAATAATGATTCACAGATGTGACAGAGACAGACAGACACAAAGGTAGAAAAAAGGTGAGGTGAAGTACTGTGGAAGTAGTCGAGTATGACATACAGTCGGATCATGGTAGGTAGAAGTCAGAAGTTTTGCCTTATGAGTATACATTGCCCAGGGTGCACCATGTGGAGGTAATGTTTAATAAGCTTTAAGTAAATTAATTGACAGGTTGTTAATATTATAAATTTTGGAAAAGTCAAACTTCATTCTCTTGGTGATCTCTTCTAACGTTGTTTCCGGAAACCATATTTATTATTGAAGTTTCTAATTGCATACAACCAAGGCATCCTGTTACTTCACCAAAGTTATGTGCTTATTTTCTGAAGGTTTCGAAGAAATGACGTCATATTTTGTGTGTGGAAAAGATCAGTATATTATGTAGGGTAGTGAATAACTTTGTATAGGGGCGAATTTGCAAATTAATGGGTGAGGCCTTACAAGTGAACCAACTAGATTGTTTCTTTAAAGAAATTCTAAACGCATTGAATTGCTACCTTCCTTAAAGGGCTGTTATTTAAAGTAAAAATTGAACTATATGATCTGAACCTCTGTTTTGGGAGGCTTTGTCTTTGATACTCGTGGCATAAGGTCCGATTGGTTTGGTAAAGGGCTAGTCGCACTATGTGGATTCATTTTGATCTTTTTACAAAATGTGAAAGTGCAAAGACGTTTTATGGTGACCCACACTGATCTATTTTAATACCACTTATGAGATTTTTTCTATGGGTAGTCAGTGTCTTAAATAATCTATTTTGTTTTGATTTGGCACATTTTTGAGATTATAGGGAATAAAGGAAATCTCCTTCATAGCCAAATATCTTGAATAGTCATATAAGGTTTGAAATATTTCGATTAATCAACGATGTGATTACTAGTTGTCGTCAACTAACTTGTGCAGGCGCAAGTTGATTTTGTTTTCAAGGCAAACACGTATTACATTCATGAAGTCCAAATGTAAAACAAACAAAAATAAGAGTACAAACTAACAATAAACCAAATCAGTTTTATTTATTTGTAAATTTTACCTGATTTCTTTGAATTTAATGTTAACTACGTTAAATAGAGAAGGTATTAACTCAATAAACAACACTAAGAATAAAACCAATCTTTATAACTGAAATTATTAATTTATATCAAATGGCAGGCGTTTTGATAGTTATCTTTAGCCCTTTGGTTGACTTCAGGCTTCATAGAGGGGATGGAACATCAAAGTGAAAAAAGTCGAGGGGGAAGGGAGATAGAAGAGTGATTCAAAGATGAAAAAGAGACAGACACAAAGGTAGAAAAAAGGTGAGGTGAGTACCGTGAAAGTAGTCGAATATGACATACAGTGGGGTGATGGTAGTTTGGAGTCAGCATTCAACTGGCGGTTAATAGACTCTTTTGCCGTATGAGTATACGTTGCCCAGGGTGCACCACGTGGTGGTAAGTCTATTGCACTCCCCATTTAAAAGTTTAAAAAATTTGAGATTTTTTTCAGAAATGGGCAAAACTCAAGACTCCTCAACAAGTTGGGGTCAATTTTCTATTTTTGTTTTACTAGTCTTTGAAACACTCTTCTCTTCCCCCTCTCCCGACTTTGTTCAATTTAATGTTCATTCCCCTCTGCCTAAAGGGCTAATGATAATCATCAAAACGCCTGCCATTTGGTATAAATAAATAGTTAATAACCAATTATACGAGATGTATTTAATACCTCTGTCTACTAAGCATTTTACCGAAAAGTTAATTTGATGTAAACAGTGTATGGAATAGTGCCAAATCTTTATAATGTTATAATTTAAAACTTTATAATTAATTCTTCTGTCAAATGAATTTCCATAATATCATTCTAATTTGATTTGTATGAAATTGGAGCTAACTTTTGAAGATTGTGAACAATCTAGCTGAATCTCGACTTTTCTTGAAAAAATAGTTCGGATTAGTATTTATTTTTATAAGAACCAACTCTGCTTAATTTGAAGAGTAAAAGAATGACAACAAAGTATATAGTTAACACAAGTCACGTTTTTCAGTGTCTCTTTTGTATACACTAAGGGTAGAACTTAGACGAATGGAAAATAACAATGAAAGTGGGAAATTTTTCGACACCATTTTGAATATGCTCATTTCTCAGATTGGTGTTTGCTTATCTGCGTCCAGACACATGGAATGTTTATTTTTTATTTATTTATTTATTCAAATGGCAGGCGTCTTGATGGTTATCATTAGCCCTTTAATTGACTTCAGGCTTCACATAGGGGAAGGAAAATCAAATTGAAAAAAGTCGAGAGGGGAGGAACAGAATAGTGTTTCAAAGATGTAAGAGACAAACACAAAGGTAGAAAAAAGGTGAGGTGAGTACTGTGGAAGTAGTCGAATATGGCATAGAGTGAGGTGATGGTAGTTAGAAGTGAGAAGTCAACTGCCAGTTAACAGACTTTTCTACCGTATGAATATACGTTGCCCAGGGTGCACCACGTGGAGGTAAGTCTATCGCACACCCCACACATGGAATGTTAGTTCATTCGTATTTCCCAAGAGGGAACAAAATATTTCGGCAATTTTCAGTAAGACTCCATCTGAGCGACTAATTAGTAAAACAATCCGACAATGCAAGGTGGGCCAACAAATAAGTCTATTCATGTTATTATTTGATTTTTGGCTTTGTTGATTTATCGCTGTATAGCTGAATTTATAAGTTTGAGTCTTGGGTGTTCTGATTGATTCTGTGCCTACAATGTTTACTACCGCTAAAGGAGTTCGTCGATTTGTAATTCAAGGCGATCAATACTAGAACACTTGTTTATTTTCTTGTATTTTTTTAAGAACAATTGAAGCAAATTAATATTGATGTAGTGATGAATATTAGCATGTTGTTGACTCGAGCACTTAATGATGGACTCATCTACTTAAGTAATGTCATGCTTAAATTAATATTTCATGAGTAGGAATAGAAAGAGTTAATTGTTTTGGTCAAAATTCTGAACCAAAGAATATCACCAAATGTGATATTCGCTTATTCGGATCCCATCGGTTAATTAGAATTAATTGCTTATCACTTCATTTCACTGGAGCTTAATTGTTACATTACGTGCCCTCTCTCAGATCTATCGACTCGTACGCAGAAGATCATGGGAAAGTCTACAATTGTCGTCCAGTTGTGGCTATCTTCTATGTCGCCTACATCGTCGTTGTGGCATTCTTTATGGTCAACATTTTTGTCGGTTTCGTCATTGTCACATTTCAACAGGAAGGTGAACAGGAGTACAAGGGATGCGAGTTGGATAAAAATCAGGTTGGTTAATTTTGCGCCAATCAAATACATACCTCAAAGTAGAATTTCCTTTTTTGATTCTTGAAATACTATTACATTCTAAATTAGGTTGCCATTATTCATTAAAAACAAATAAATTTCATCTGAAAATATGCTCTTGTTTAGACAGGATTATCCACTGGTTACTTTTGTAGCGAAAACTTAATTGATACTAAAGTGTTAAATACACCATTATTTATGGGAAAATTGAGCTTCGATTTCGTATCCATAAGTATCTCGAATTATGATTGAGTCAGTAGAATGTATTGCGAAATTCCTTCATCTCCAATTCGTAGTAGACAGATTTGTGATTAGATGTTTAGAATTGCAGACTGTGAGAAATATATTTCCATTTATTTCATTTTTAATATGACCTAGAAACAAGTATGCAAAAACTTATTCTTAAATCATTGGGTGAAGATAACTTTCACTATGAAAGTCACATGACGGATTTAGAGTTGGTTAGCTGCTTGCAACATTCCCCACGAAGAAAACCCCGATAGAATTCCAGGAGAGTGTCCAATCAGTTATTGTTATTATTAATGTCAAATAAAAAAAATCATAAGATCCAACTGTGCGGTGCTATCTAACCGCGTCGAGTAACAAATAGTTCCCTGAGGGTATGATAAAAGTCTAATAAGGCTATGAAAATGAAATCGCGGTTTCATGTGTCATGATTTATTTGAATTTTAGAGGTGAATACTTCAGGTGTAATATCAACATGTCCCTGAGTAGTTTTACTGACTTGAGTTGGCAAACATATTCCGAGCTTACCAATTAGTTAAAGTATTTGAGCTCTGGATCACGATATTTGAATCCTATGTATCTTATTACACCCACGATCCGATCGATATGACTGGTAAAATCATTTTAAAAGTCGCTTAGCACACTACAGTTCAACCAATAATTTGTATTCGTCACTTTCCTCCCAAATCCACAATATTACGAAAGTTGAAGACAAAAATGCGGCGAACTTTTAGTGCCTGGTCAAATTTATACAAAACATTGGCATATGAGAAGGTGCAATTTGAATTGGGAAATAATATTTAGGGATAAGAATATAGCCTTTCTGTAGTTCCCTTTCTTAGGCAGTAAAATAGCAAGAGATCAAAATAATTTAAGAAGAATGCATCATATTTTTATCACATCTCCTATTGAGTTGACAATGGGTCACGCCATAGATATCGTGTTTTTTGTCCTATATTTAGTAATTGTAAATGACACGCTCTGAGTACAACAACTTATTGACTGAATGCTAAAGAAAGAGCTGCAGTATGCCTATGTGAAAGGGAACATACTTTAATTATCAACTTTAAGAGTACGGATGTAGGACGAACGCCAGTGACTTTATAAGTCGCCGGAGACTTTTATTATTGTGCTTTTCTACACATACTTAAGGTTAGCTTATTTTATTGGTTGTTGCAGTAGTTTTAGTAAGACTACTCTTTTCAACAAAGTTCGTTAACTCAAAATCACAGCCAGAGTAACTTGTGTTAGAGAGGGTGTCCTCTGTTGCTCCGCCTAATATTATTAACGAATGATTCCTGAATTTTTTAATTCAATGGGAGCCAAACACAGTCATCCAGGCTCTGTTCCCGCCTCTGATCACGAGCATCTTGTCACTACGTTCACAAGAACCCCTACCACAACTCCGCATAGTAAATATGTGGTTTCAGTTGTGATTGGTGTCTCAGTTGGTTCTGTTATTCTTGTATTCCTTGTCTTTATTTTATGTGTTTACTTCTTGAAACGGGTGGACAATCAAGCCAATTACAGCCCACATGAAGAAGAATCCCGTATGTATCGTCCGAAGGGACTGAGAAGTGTCGCAGTTTAGCTCCCTATTCATCTTTTTACCATTGTTGTCATTTAATATTAATAAATTATCATGAGTTATAACACCTTGTTTCTGTATTAACAAGTTCGATAGGAATGTATCTTCTTTTTAAATTTGTCTCATTTTATTTAAAAGTATTTAAAAGTAATGCGATTGAGTTCCATCTTGTGAGCAAATAAACTATCTTACTCCCACACAGTGCGCTTCAGAGTTTCAAGGTCAACTAATCTGTAAAGGCTCCAATCAGAAGTGTATGAGTAAATCGCTAATGCAATTTGATTGGTTGCGGCGTTAGCACACTAGCACTCATAGTAGCCAAAATTAATGTGGCAGGTGTTTGCAAACTTTGTGACGAATCAAACGTGTGAGTACACGAGATCGCTACATAGAGTTGACACTTCATTAAATGCCTCTGATCATTTTGGATTAGCAATTTGGATTGTAATTACCGTTTTACGATATCATCCTCATCATGGCAGAGCCAGCCCCAAACCCACCTTCTACTGGACTTAGTTCTGGACAATTAGCCGCTGCAATAGCAGTCCCCATTACTGTCATTATTCTTATTGGTGTAGCCGTCGGTCTCTATTTCTACTTTCGTAAACGTCGGGCGAAGATGGGTTCATATAAACCCAATGAACTGGAAGTTAAGACCGGCAAATCTGAAAGTCGAGGTACTCCAAATTCCGTGCTATTTTCTCAAAAGGAACGGCTATTCTGATCCGTTCAATTCTCAAACCCCCTTTTACTCTTCTTTTGTACAAAATTTGCCTCCTCCTTTGCCTCTAAGCCCCCATAGAACAAACAAAAATGAACATCAAGAGTTATATAACTGTGAATTCAAAGGAAATATAAATAATTGTTTTCTTACTATTCTCTTTATCTCCCTCTCCTTTATCACAGCGGAAATGTATCGAGTTTGCGTTGAAGGCCAGACCAGTTCGACGGTATATCCCCAAGGAGCGATTTCAGTATCGAATCTGGTGGTTTGTCACTTCACAGCCCTTTGAATACTGCATCTTCATTTTCATTCTAATCAACACAATCTGCCTAGGAATGAAGGTAAGATGAGACAGTATACTCATAATTCGCTTGACTTATTTGTTGTATTCCTGCCCAAAATTTTCATTACAATTAGCAGTAGCTGAGTGCCTAATAGTGAGAATAGATAGCTGCGTACTCGCTCATCAAAAGCACCAACACTGCCAAATCTGTCACATTTGTTGGAGGAAGCTCTATATTAAGTGCGTATAGTCTTGGTACTTCATAGGACCGGTAACATTGAATCACATGTTAATGAGACAATACGCACATTCTAGCGGTGTTGACTTCTGAGGCCTTAAGGGTAACCTAACCCTAAATAAATTCTCAACTTGCTATCTGAGCCAACTACCAACTAAGCTGTGAGGTCAGTTCTTAGGTCAAAGAACTTTTATAGAACAAGCTCTTTACGATCCAACTCTTTCTAGCTAAAGCCAAATAGTTCTCAGCTGTTCTCATACCTTTCGGATTGTAGACAAATGCATAAAAGCTGTTTAACAAAGGAATAAAAATCAACTAATTTTGTTGCGTATGAATTAAAATAGTTTCAAAGTCCATTTAAAATGCAGTTCCTTGCTATTTAAAGAAAAATTAATTTATTAAAATAGTGCAAATTAAGCTTTTCATTTAAAGTTTGGGCGGAGTTAGGGTGGATAAAATTTAAATATTAGGTGAATAAATTAAGACTTTTTTAGATAAAATTGTTTTACAATAGTTTCAGCCTTTGTCTAGTG